CCTTGGAGGCAAAGAGGGGAATGTATGAGAGTATGTGTTGTTTTACCAACTCTCTTATATGGATGTGAAGCATGGGTGATGAATGTTGCAGCGTGGAGAAGGCTGTGAAGGCAGTGGAGATGTATGTCTGAGGGGCAATTGTTGGTGTGAATATAAATGCAGAGGTATTCGTAGTTTCGTGAAGTCGAGTGAGGATGGTGCGGGTTACCAAAACTGTTGTCCAGAGGGGAGAGGAAGGGTTAGTGAGGTGGTTCGGACATGTAGAGAGAATGGAGCGAAACGAAAATGACTTCAAGTGTGTATCAGTCTGTAGTGGAAGGAAGGTGGGGTTGGGGGCGGGCTGGAAAGGTTGGAGGAGAGGGGGGTGTAAATAAAGGAGGTTTTGTAGTGCTCGGGGCTTGGATCTTTCAGCAGGTATGCATGGAGCGTTGTTTGATAGGAACGTGAATGGAGACAAATGGTTTTTATATTGACGTGCTGTTGGAGTTGTGAGCAAAGTAACATTCTATGAAGGGGGTTTCCAGGGAGACCGGCAGGCCGGACTTGAGTCCTGGAGATGGGAAGTACAGTGCCGCACTCCTGAAGGAGGGGTGTTAATGTTGCAGTTTAAAAACTGTAGTGTAAAGCACCCTTCTGGCAAGACAGTGATGGAGTGAATGATGGTGAAAGTTTTTCTTTTTCGGGCACCCTGCCTTGAGTGGAATCGGGCCAGTGTATAATAAAATAAAAAAAATGTCACGCCCCCCCCCCCCCCCCCCCCCCCCCCCCCCCCCCCCCCCCCCCCCCCCCCCCCCCCCCCACCCCCCCCCCCCCCCAGAAGAAAATTTAAGTGAATACAGGAAAGAGTAAGGTTATGAGGATAACAAAAAGATTAGGTGATGAAAGATTAGATATCAGATTGGAGGGAAAGAGTATGGAGGAGGTGAATGTATTCAGATATCTGGGAGTGGATGTGTCAGCGGATGGGTCTATGAAAGATGAGGTGAATCATAGAACTGATGAGGGGAAAAGGGTGAGCGGTGCACTTAGGAGTCTGTGGAGGCAAAGAGGGGAATGTTGTCCAGAGGGCTGAGGAAGGGTTGGTGAGGTGGTTCGGACATGTAGAGAATGGAGCGAAACAGAATGACTTCAAGAGTGTATGAGTCTGTATTGGAAGGAAGGCGGGGTAGGGGTCGGCCTAGGAAAGGTTGGAGGGAGGGGGGTCAAGGAGGTTTTGTGTGCGAGGGGCTTGGACTTCCAGCGGGCATGTGTGAGCGTGTTTGATAGGAGTGAATGGAGACAAATGGTTTTTAATACTTGAAGTGCTGTTGGAGTGTGAGCAAAGTAACATTCATGAAGGGATTCAGGGAAACCAGCAGGCCAGACTTGAGTCCTGGAGATGGGAAGTACAGTGCCTGCACTCTGAAGGAGGGGTGTTAATGTTGCAGTTTAAAAACTAGTGTAAAGCACCCTTCTGGCAAGACAGTGATGGAGTGAATGATGGTGAAAGTTTTTTTTTTTCGGGCCACCCTGCCTTGGTGGGAATCGGCCAGTGTGCTAATAAAAAAAAAAATATATATATAAAAGTCTACTTATTGTCTTCAATGTATGGGCAATTACTCCATGGTTACGTTTGTTAAAATGTTTTTGAAAAACTATGAGTAGCTCACATTAGCATTACATTTTCCTTTCAAGTACAGTGGGCCCCCGGTTATCGGCCATAATCTGTTCCGGAAGGTCGGCTGATAACCGAATTAATACTATTTCCCTAAGAATTAATGGAAATAAAATTAATCTGTTCCAAACAAAAATATTCAATTTTTTTTTTTAACAGTTATATAAGTATTACATACCTTTATTGAAGGCTAATGCTGGCTTCTGGAAGATAGGGAGGAGGAAAGAGGGATGAGTTAGTGTTTGGAAGGGAAATCCCCCTCCATGAAGACTTTAGGTAACAAAGCCTTCTCTGGGGTTACTTCCCTTCTCTGTCTTTTATTGACACTAGGACCAGCTTGAGAGTCACTGGACCCCTGTCTCACAAAATAACTGTCCAGAGTGCTCTGTTTCTGGAGTCTCTAAGATTTCCCTGAAATGGGACAGGGTTTTGTCACTAAACATGTTGCAGCTATGGCTTGTTTCAGCTTTGTCAGGGTGGTGTTTCTCTAAAAAAGCTTGCACCCTAGTCCACACTGCACACACCTCTTTAATCTCTGAAGAAGTCACCTCCTTCACTCCCTCCTCCTCCTCCTCTGAAGCAAGTTCCTCAGCTACAGTCTGTTGTTGATCGAGATGAAGCTCTTGCAGCTCTTCAGTGGTTAGCTCTTCCCTGTGGTCCTCCACCAACTCTTCCACATCCTTGCCACTCACTTTCAACCCCAGGGACTTCCCCAGTGCCACAACAGAGTCCAAAGGTCGGGAGGGTCAGGATGAGCCTCAAACCCTTCAAAATCCCTCTCTTTTTCACAATGTGGCCACAGTTTTCTCCAAGCAGAGTTCAAAGTCCTGGAAGTCACTTCCTCCCAAGCCTTACCTATAAGGCTTATGCAATGGAGGATAGTGAAATGATTCCTCCAGAACTGTCTTAGGGTCAACTGAGTGTCCGAGGTCACTTCAAAGCACTTTTGAAATACTGCTTTTGTGTAGAGTTTTTTGGAGCTAGAAATTACCTGCTGGTCCATGGGCTGGAGGAGAGGAGTGGTGTTAAGAGGCACGAACTTCACTTTTATAAAACTGAAGTCCCTAAACACTTGGTCTTGCAAGTCTGGAGGATGTGCAGGAGCATTGTCCAATACCAGGAGGCATTTGGGTGGCAATTTCTTTTCCAGGAGGTATTTTTTCACACTTGGGACAAATACATCATTAACCCAACTCTTTGAAAATTTGCCTTGTGACCCATACCTTATGATTAGCTTTCCACATCACACATAATCTATTCTTCATGAAATTGTTTTTCTTAAACACTCTGGGATTTTCTGAGTGATACACAAGTAAAGATTTCACTTTGAAATCCCCACTAGCATTACCACACAACAAAAGAGTAAACCTGTCTTTCATAGGCTTGTGTCCTGGCAGTGCCTTTTCCTCCTGGGTAATGTAGGTCCTGTTTGGCATTTTCTTCCAAAACAGGCCTGTTTCTTCAGAAATGAACACTTGTTGGGGTTTGAATCCTTCAGCCTTTACATAGTCCTGGAATTCGTGAACATACTTTTCAGCTGCACATTTGTCAGAACTTGCAGCCTCACCATGCCTTACAACACTGTGCATGCCACTATGCTTCTTAAATCTATCAAACCATCCTTTGCTGGCCCTAAATTCACAAACTGCAGCACTTGTTCCAGGCATTTTCTTTGCAAGATCCTCATGGAACTGCTTTGCCTTCTCACAAATGATCGACTTCCACAACACTGTCTCCCACTAATTCTTTTTCCTTAATCCACAATAATAATAACTTTTCCATCTCTTCCATTATTGGTGACCTTTGTTTAGTTCGAAAAGTTACTCCTTTTGCAACATTAGCATCTCTGATTTGTTCTTTCTTTGCCAGGATGGATGTACTTGTTGATTTATTCTTGCTGTAAATCCTGGTAAGTTCCACCACCTTTATATCACTCTCAAACTTTTCTATCACTTCACACTTAAATTCCATGGTGTTTCTCATTCTTAACCACAGGAACTTTACCAGGAACTTTCTTTGGAGCCATCTTTACTTATTTCACAGTTGCACTGCAAGAAAAACCACTAAAACCAATTGTAAACAATCAAAATGTTTGGATGTATGAGCAGAAGCTTCCTCAGCCACCGAGAGACAAAGCCAAACTGAAGCACAAGCTGCCCCAACCAGCAGATGGACGCGTCCAAAACAGCCGATAATGGAGTGTACAGCCGATAACCGGGCGCCAGAAACCCGCCAATAACCGAGTTGGCTGATAACCAAACCGGTCGATAACTAGGGGTCCACTTTATTATGTGGTTTTGTCGATCTAATAATTGTGAGAGGAATGATCTTCCTGCTCTAAAGTCATGCTAAGTTGGGTTGTGTAATTTAAAGTTTCTCCATAAAACCATTAATCTCAGATCTCAGCACCCTTTCAAGGATTCTTAGGGTCTATGATGTAAGTTCTGCTACTCTGTAGTTTTCTGCTATTGCTCTGATGCTCCCTTTGTATAAAGGAGCTTCTTTTTTTTCAACGAACCAACTGTATCCCACCACGGTAGGGTGGCCCAAAAAAGAAAAACAAAAGTTTCTCTTCATAAAATTTAGTAATTTATACAGTAAAAGGGGCTACTAGCCCCTTGCTCCCGGCATTTTAGTCGCTTCTTATGACATGCATGACTTACCAAGGAAGAATTCTGTTCCACTTCCCCATGGAGAATATAGAGGAACTATCACCACTTTTTAAGGCCACTGGAATTTCACCTGAATCTAAGCACCTCCTCCAGAGAACACTAAGTATGAGTACTGATGACACTTTGCATTTCTATACAAATACAGTACTGAAGTTGAGGAATTAGGTTCAGGTGCTGCATGCCTGGGTATTTTCTGTAGTTATCTTTCAAGGTTTGCAGGATTTGCACTAATATCAGAAAATTCATAAAGTGAGTAGAATTTAATAAATAATTATCCGAGTCTTCAACTCTCATGGTATCAACAGGATCTTTTAACACTGATTTATACTATTCTTTCAAGACTGTGCTTATCTGACATGCAAAAACACAACAGTATGACTGTAAGCAACTCACAGTGAGGAATTTCACTTTTTTGTTGTCATCTACATACATGAATCTCATTTGAACAAAGGGCCAATAATGGCAGAAGTTTCAGTATTTTTTTGCAAATGTTCTTTCAGGTATTTCAAGGGAAGATTTATGCTATGTCGTTCTCACAAGGAGGTAAATCACAGATGGTAAGTAAAAAAACAAAAAAAAAGAAGTCTATGTATGATGTGGCTACAAACTTTACACTGCAATGAAAAAAATGGCTAGAAGACCACTTGTGAATGAAACTGATGCACAGTACATACCTAGTTTGATGCCAGTCACAGCTGGAAGTATTGGAGAGTAGAACATCCCAAGCCAACATAGTGTCTGGCCATACACAATGTCCAGCACATGCTTAGGAATTATAAACTCTATATCTCCTATGGCTGCCCCAATACGGCTGCCTCGCATGAGCTTGTGGCCAATACATTTTCTTGGCAAGTTGACTAGGAAAGTTGATATGAACATAATAATCAAATCTAAGATTGTCAATTTGTACAGCTGCTGGCCCACATATGTCTCCCAACATCTAGGTTGATCACAGTCTTCACTGCAAGAAAATAGTGGTACAGGTAGTAGTTGTGAGTTTCTTTTCAATATGATTTATCCATACACTACATCTTCATTCATATATATGAAAATAAGCACACATTAATTTATTCACTATATTTTCCCTCTCAATTAGGTAGGAAGAAGAGCATTATACAGTTGATAATGTTGTTTATTTTCTGTATTTTAAACTATATAGCACAATTTTTATATACAATACTGCCATTTGCTTGGTATCTGAATATTTTGTGACAAAAGATATAGTGAACACAAGATATTAGGGTGAGGGATGAATTGGGAGCACGGTGCACCACAAACACACACAATGGATATGGAAGAAAGATGATTGGTTTCAGCATCAGCAATCCAGTGTTTACAGATGCAATGGTCTTCCATTCTGCCAATGGCTACTCCACTTTTGTGTGTACTTAAACACTGCTGGTCTTGCTCCATCATTGCATGGGTTACCCTACATTATAACAAAGACCAATGTCAAGTAATTTTTGCTAGTGGATAAACCAACATGTAATAACAGATCACATGAAGAATAAATATATATAGTGATAAAATATTAAAATTATCAGAAAGAGAGAGAAGTCAAGTAGTCATTCATAGTGAACAAGTGTGTGATTGCAAACCCACAAGAAACTCAAGTTACATTGGCAAAATCATAAAACAGCCTTGAGAAATACGAATGGAAAATACTAAAAGTAATTGCATTTGTTAAGCAAAAACTGGAATATGTAGTGATGGTACGGTTTTTCACACTTAAAAATTATGTGGACAAGCAGAAAAATGTACAATGATCAGCTACAAAATGCTTCCCCCAGAGCTAAAAAAAAAAATTGCAAGAGCTACAAATTAAGGCAGAAAAGACTAAGAATTTCATCCCTGACTGACACAAGGATTGGGAAAATAAAAACAGTATGAGAAGGACATAATAAGACATAAAAAACAGATATAAGAAAAGAAATATCTCCAACATTACTTGAGAATTGTACAAAAATATATAATAATAATAACAATTAGCAGTAATGACCCAACTAAAAAGTTCAACTGGCATAGCACTTGTGTTATATCAATGTCCTTTAATATTCTATGAATTACCAACCATTCCTGTATATTACTGGCCATAAGAGGGGGAGAAGAGAAATACTGCTCCTCAAATTATCAGATTTTTGGCTAACTACAGGTATAAGACAGGGGTATATTTTCAGGTCACATACCTTTGAATAATTTTTTTTTGTGCACCAGCAGTCAAAACGGGAGTGTTTTATATCCATGTGAAAATTAATGAAAATATTTATATATGAATTGTTTTTTCAAAAACAAAAGTCACGGGCCTAATAAACCCCCAAAAACTGCCCAAAAATGTGATCTACTTTTCACGCTAGCACCCCAAAACATAACTCAACGTTTTTTTTTTCCTGCTCCAAATTTGGCGAAATTTTGGCTAGAGATGCCTAGTCAGAAGAATGGGTTAAAACTCAGTGGTGCAGTTTTAAAAAAATATCTGGCAAACTTAGTCCTTGTGGGAGCACCAGTGCAATTGAGCACCGGGGAGCAAACATAACCCCCCTTTAAAGGGGAAAGTGATGGGTGACCCAAGTTTAGGGGTTTCGAGATGATGTGGCAAAGGGTTTGAGAAACATAAAAAACTTGGGTAAAAAACCTGTGCAACACTTGTGCCCTAGTAGGTTACCCTGCCAGAATGCCCCTAAACCCTATGCCCTAAGCAAAACGAAATGATTCAGGGAAAATGTTTAAAATGTATTCAGCAGGCCCGGGTTTTTGGGGGGCTGTCTGATTGGTTTGGGGTGACGATCTAAGTGTGGTGTGATGTGAGTGTGAGTGTGGTGTGTGGTGTGTGTGTGTGTGTGGTGTGTGTGTGTGGTGTGTGGTGTGTGGTGTATCTATCTTCTATCTATCTTTTTTTTTTTTACACAGGGTTTGACAAGGGTTAAGGATCCCTACTTTATTGACAAACTATTTACAGGGTTTAAAGGATCCTAACTTTATTGGGAAATAAGAGCGTTACCTCTCAGCTCATTTGAAAGCATTTTTTTTTGTTATGGACTACAATAGGGAAAAAGATGAAGTTGGGGCCATCATGGGCCCCATTTTCATTTGATCACTGACTTTATCTCGTTGACATCATTATGCTGTAAAGAATGGTTCCTACTGAGTCATCCTGGGTATAAGGATCTCAGATGGAGTGTGTTCTGGGAAGGGTAAACCAGAGTGAAGTTGCTGCTTTTTTCCCCTCTTTGGCATAAAAGCTTGTTCACGCTGTCCCCAAGTGGATCAAGTGTGGGACTTTGACAAAATTGGCCCTTTTATAAAAGTAAGGCACCCCATCCTCCTATGTTGAAGGCTCTGCTGAAAAGACAGATCTATCCCGGTGGGTCAAGGCGAAGGATGAGACATTTTTGTTGTTTTCTACTCGTCAAGCAGTCGCAGATGAGAGGGGGGGGAGGAACCCAAAAAAGTGGAGCTATCAAGGTGTGGGGAAAACTTTTGCCTGTACAGGATTTGCAACCCCTACTGTCAAGCAGATGCGAGTAGGCGAAAGGTGTAAGCTTCCCGGCTGCCCTTTTTTGCAAGATTTACACTGGTTCTTCTGGTTAGTTTGGAGTCAAATTTCACCCCCCCAAAGGGTAATCAACTTCTTTTCCAGGTTAACACCCCCCCCATTCATCCTTAAACTGCACCAGAATTTCCCTCATGGTGCCTAAGACATCATCTTTTCGTTTTTTTCGGTGCAAAAAGTTATTGCCTCTATTTCCCCAAGCTGATATAGCTCTCAGATGGTGATTGTGTAGCTTTGAGCCTGGCATTTCTTTTCTTGGGGTAGTATGTCGTGTACAGTCGTCTGCATATGCGTGATTCTGGGGTGGATGAAGAAGGTCTTTTAATAGAAATTCCATAACAATGGGGCCCCGCACCTTTTCCCTTTTGGAACACTTGCCCCAATAGGATGTCTTGCTGATTCCATTCCACTGAGAACTACACTTAGAGATCTACCATGAAGGTAATCACTGAGGAGACATAGCGTAGAGCCTGCAATTCCCAGTGCTTGAAGTTTTGCTAAGAGGCCCTGGTGCCACACCCAGTCGAAAGCACCAGCAATGTCCAGTGCTACCACACAGCTGACTTTGGATTCATCCAGTGACTGGTGCCACTTAATGGAGAGGTTTAACAACAGATCAGCAGCAGAGTAACCTTTCCTGAAGCCATATTGACGATCACAAAGTAGTGAGTGGTAGTCAAAAAACTCTGAGATTATTGTCTCAAGGATCTTACCAGTGATTGACAGAAGTGACACTGGTCTGTAGTTGCTGATTTCTGCTCTGCTCTTCTTTTTGTGAACAGGGACTACATTTGCCTCTTTCCATAGAGAGGGCCATTTACACTGTACTAGACAGTGCTGAAAGATGTGAGTTAGAGGTGCTGCTAGCTGGTCTGCACATCTTCTCAACAATCTTGGGCTCAACTTGTCTGGGCCCACAGCCTTTTCTTGGTCAAGCGATTTAAGAAGGAAATGCACCTCCTCCTGCCTTATTGTCACCACTGACAGTTTTGACACAGTTCTTGCAGCTAGCCAAGGAGGGTCCCTTGCTGGATCAGGAACTTGCATTTTGGTAGCAAAGTGCTCAGCAAAGAGGTCCGCCTTCTCTTGACTACTAGTAGAGGTAGTCCCATCCTGTCGATTTAGAGGTGGAATGAGTTCATCAGGCAGATAACCTTGTCTGTCCTTGAGCAGGGACCACCAGGTTTTGGAGCCTACCACCTCCCATTTAGCAATGGCCCACTTTTGAACGTCACCCATATGCCTACAGGCTTGCATGTGCAGGTTCCTATTATAGGTGGTAGGATGTCTCTTATACCTTCGCCATGCTTTGTACTTAGCAGTAGCAGCCTCTCTACAACGAAAGCCAAACCAAGGCTGATCTGTAGGCTTCGTCACATATTGCCGGTGAGGAATGTGTTTTTGTTGTAGACTAAGGATGTGTCCAGTGAAGGCTTTCACTTGGTTGTCAACATCCCCTTGGAGAAGAGCATTCCTCTCTCTCTCTCTCTCTCTCTCTCTCTCTCTCTCTCTCCTCTCTCTCTCTCTCTCTCTCTCTCCCTCTCTCTCTCTCTCTCTCTCCTCTCTCTCCTCTCTCCCTCTCTCTCTCCCTCTCTCTCTCTCCCTCTCTCTCTCTCTCTCCCTCTCTCTTCCCTCTCTCTCTCCCTCTCTCTCTCTCTCTCTCTCTCTCTCTCTCTCCCTCTCCCTCTCCCTCTCCCTCTCTCTCTCCCTCTCTCTCTCCCTCTCTCTTCCCTCTCTTTTCCCTCTCTCCTCTCTCCCCCTCTCTCTCCCTCTCTATCCCCTCTCTCTCCCCCTCTCTCCCTCCCTCTCTCTCTCCCTCTCTCCCCCCCTCTCCCCCTCCCTCTCTCTCTCTCTCTCCCTTTCTCTCTCTCTCTCCCTCTCTCTCTCTCCCCCAATCTCTGGTACACATAAGTAACGTTATCATACATGGTGTTAATTACCTAGGATAACCCAAACAATCCTGACATTGTGCTTGGAGATATAAGGCATAATAAGAATGACTGGCAGTACGCATTTTCGCTTGATCTGGAATCAGGTGTGACGACTGTGCATCGCGTGTAGTACCTGCTGGTTCACGAGCGGCTCTCTTAGATGGAAAGAGAGACAAGCAGATAGACAGAGGAAGACAGAAAGACAGATAAGCAGAGACAGAGCTAGACAGACATGTTTATGTCTAACAGTGAAAATAAATAAAGGCCAAGGTTCAGTGGAGCAGTGCACGATCATGAAGTGTCACTCCACTGCTGCACTGTCAGAAGTGGAGTGACACTTGTCTTGCACTGTGCTTCAAGTAGTTTCATATACCCCAGCATGTCTAAAACATTGCTGGGACCTATAAATACAGTGGAACCTCGGTACATGAACAGCTCTGCACTCGAACAATTCATTATTCGAATGCTTTGCTCAGTAAA